TTCCCTTGTTGCATAGGAGAAGAGATCAGCCCCCGCCTTGACACGATCTCCTTTCAGGTAGTTGTAGAGAGTGATGAGGTCTTCCCTCAGCCTCCTTTTCTCCAAACTAAGCAACTCCAGTTCCCTCAGTCGCTGCTCCTAAGAACTCTAAGGATCTGTGTAAAATTAATTCCCTCTGATTTAAAGGATCTCTCAGCTCCAAATTGTTAGAGGCTGGAAGCCTGTATAGGCAACAAATCAATATGTGTTTGCCATAGTCTTGTACTCTACCAAGGTGTCTGGTTTTGCCCATTATGAAAGACAGATACTTAGGTACCCAGGCCTTTAGGTCTGACTGGGTATATCTTCCAGAGGAAGTACAATGTATAAGGTATTTTGATAGAGAGTGTGTAGTTAAAAAAATACTTTACTGAGTGACTGAAAATATCTGCATGCGCAGGAGAGGGTTAAACCTATCAAGCTAATCCTTTTACATAAAGGGATTAAATACAGTGCTCTGTAAAGTCAAAGTCGTTTTGGTTCATTGGCAGAGAGTCAAGCCACCTCACGTTTTCAGATGTCTAATCTGTTGAGAAAACATAGGGAAAACTAAATCTTGTAAGTAATCAGCCTGTCAGAGGAATATTTGGGGAGAAAAGATCCCTCATTTTTTGTTCAAAATTAGAAAGCTCAGTCAATTGCTGTACTGATTCACAGTGAACTCTTACAAAGAAGTTGTCTGGAGCAACCCCCCATAAACATATAAAAGCTGTGATTGTACAGTGGCAGCAATTTTTATTTACATGTTTAAGGTATCAGCAACAAGTTGTGCAGCTCCCATTACACTGCTAACTTGTGGGACTTATCCTGCTCCCCAGATATTCGACTCACAAAACCAAAGCTGGAGACTTTCAAAGCAGAGACTAAAGTTTTGTTCTTAATCTGCTTTACACACATTCATAAAAATCTTCTCAAAGGGAAAGATACACAAAGCCCTCTCCATCCTTCCCACCTTCCGACCAATCAGTGTATCCTTTTTCTGCTCTCTGTCCACTACCTACACAGCAAGGCACAACCCATGGCATACTCTTTTTATTGATAGTTGTATCATGGCATGTTTTGATGAAATCTAAAAGACATAAAATGTCAGGTTCTTCATAATATGTAACTATTGCTTTGGAGAGGGCATATTATCCTTTCATTATTAACACGCTAAATCTCCAGGAGCATCTAGTGATGGTGGGAATCTCAGGTTTTAGTTGGAGTTGTTTCACAGATTTATTACAAATAACAGATCATTTAGCCCGTCAAAAGCAGGTTCCCCAAAGCATCATCACTTTGAGAGTTCCAAGTTAAAATATGTCTGCAAATGCAGGCCTATATCCTCTGCTTCTTCTGAAGTCTTGATTTAATAGTCAATTGCCTTAGTTCAGACTTTTAGAAGAGAAATATGGAATTCAACTGTTCAATGAAACCAATGCTGTTTATTACTAAATGACCTGGGAGAAAGCAAAAAGAAATGGTTACTTAGAAAAACAGCTCTGAACTAATGTCTGGGAAGGAAAGGACTCAACTAAGGAAAGGACTCAACTCCTCTCTGAGTGCATCAGGCAGGGAGGGCAAATGTTCTTAAATTTGAAGGAGGTAGACATCAGCAGAGGAAAAACTGGGCCAAACCTAGCCACATATGCTGTCAACTTGAAAAGTTTTCTGAGTATCAGAGGAGTGAGAGTCTGAAATAGCCTTACTTAGGCGGTGACAAAACCGGGTTAAAGGCAGAGGTTTACCAGTTTTGCAGAGGTGTTATGTATGGTTATCACTGGGATAGAATTTCTTCATCCAGAAGTGTCAGCCAGTCCATGCTGGGTTTCTTCAGGGAACAGACTTGCTGCATATGCTAATCTGTGCTTTTTTCTGACACTAAAAAATACCAGAGCATATCTTCTTAAAGTTGCTTAAATCTGCAATCTGCTACTAGCAGGAGTTTCTGACAGGCAGACAGGAAGGGTATGACCTGACCTGCACGACCAGTCTTGTTAACATCAGTGGGACTATTCAGATGTATATTCAGACTGATGGTGTAGAGCTGAGTTTACACTAAAACCGTCTGTCACTATGTCTTTGGTAAGTACATTCCTACAATAGCAGGGAAAGTTTATCATGGGTGAGGAAGTTAGAGTACGGTTCATTTGGTAAAATATCTATGACATTCTCAAATTTGTTGCTTAAAACTAAAAAGATTTTCTAGCAACCCAAAACTAAGTTGAATCTAAAAAAAATAATCCCTTGGTGATTCCATTTTCAAATATATACAGTAGTTTTAAAGTTCAATATTTTCCCTAGACAAAACAATAAACATTGAAGATATGAAATTTCCATCTTTGAAAGAATTGTGGTGCCAGAATAGTCATTCTATTGCAGTTCAATGACTGAATTAGATTTCTGGATGCTGAGCTGATGGAATAGAAATGAAAAATAATAAATGGATTTACTTGCTTGGCTATACCTTCACGTATAAGCAGCTAGCAACAGTGAACTATATAAATATAACTATAAAGTTTAGAGATATTTACATCCACTACTGACTTTGATCAGATGATCCCTGAAAAGCAATTACTTTGGTATGTATTATGGGACTGTTTTTCTGAATAGGAAAAATGTCCAAATGGACCTAAATAACTTCTATTATTTAGTCTACTAACATAAAATTTCTAAGTTTTCTACTGTTGTATTCCCTGACACACACTGTTCACAAATTGTCTTTTTTTTCCCATTTCTAACCAACGTGTCCTACTTCTAAATAGTCAAATAGTGTGTTCTGAAAAAGAATTTAGAAATAGAAGGTTTACATCTCTTTTTGTCCCTATAATGATTTTTAAATATGATGCCATGTTTAACAGACATTTTTTTATTTAAAAACATTAAGTCTATTCTTACCTCATAAGCATTTCAGCCAAACTCTTTGCATCTAGAATAAAATAGAAGAAATGTCATCACAAATTAAAATCTGATAGATGGATTATTAGGAATAAGCGATTTGAATCAGTCATGTTTAAGACCAGTGTTGTTTCTCAAATCAGTGGCAAGAATAAAATCAACTCTTAAAGTCCCTACTCTAGCTGAAACTGCATTTCTGCCACAGACAGCCCTGTTTTGTTCCTGGGTAGCACCAAAGATGTTACCGCTGGCTTAACTAAAAAGAACAACATAATCTTATTGGAAGCAGAAGCACTTTGACAAATAACAGGGATTTCTGTTCCTTCATTCCATGGTTAGCATGTGAACAGGCGAGAGAGGAAGAAAAGGCAAGAAGACAGACATGTTGATGTCAGGGCAGGAGCCAAACTCAAGCTGGATGAGCAGTTGCCAAGCATACTAGACTGCATGGGGGTCTGAGTAAGGGCAGTCTCCAATGAATCAACTTGTTTGGTTCCTCTCAGAAATGAATGTTTTTCCACTGGCAGTAATTCAAAACTACTGCTGGGTCTTCAGAGGACAGTCTATACACAAAACAGGAGGTGGCTTATTCCCACATGGATCAGCTCTCCAAAATGAGACACTGCTGAAGGAGAAATATTCCTCCTGTTGTTGTCATTTCTGTTATTATTAGCACAAAATCCTTTGGGGATATAATTATTCTGGTACTTATCAGATCAAAAGATAACAGATGAAGTTCAGTTCACCAAGTGTTCTTCATGTAGCTTCCTGTAAAACTTTATCAACATAATATAATAATTTCTGTAGTATTATTCAGCAAAAATTCTATTCTTTGTTCTCCTGAAGCCTGCTGCTAAACAAACTCAAAAATGCTGACTTGAGAGTCCCTAAGTATATCGCACAGGAACAAAGCAGTCTTTTGTGAAACCAAGTGAATCAAATCTGGGAAGAAAACAATTCTAAGTCTTCAAGCAACTCTCCTATTGTGTGAAACTTTGAATTTCTTCTTTTATCTGCTGCTTGTAAATTTACCAGTACCTGCCAAGACATCTACTGAATTTGTCTCTATTTTCTCCATCTCACCTTTTTTGTTCCTTAGTCACTGCTTGGGTCTCCTACGCCTACAACAATTTCTTTGCTTGTGATCCTATTAAATATCCTGCCTTTAGAATTCAGAGGATGAAGGCAGAAACAAGCCACCATCTTAATGTATCATTTTGGCTACATTTGTATTCATTGTTAAAAGGAATGGACAAAGGTCTCTTTTATCCACAAAAAAGAACTCCTCTGCAAAACCACTTCCACCCACTTTCTACATTCTGTTTCTCTGACACTGTGCCAGCTTGTTTGTCTTAAGCTTTATTCCTCACTTACTACTGAAGAAGCTGAAATTCTGTGCTTCTTCTAGGTCTGTTCGCTAAACTTCCTTATTTTTAACCTTCCCCTACCCTTTTTCAGTGCAAAGCATGGCAGATTCCCAGTGGAGGGAGGGACTCTCCATCTGAGATGTCCCATCTAATCCAAGCAGTGTTCCATTTAGGCATCTAGACTCTCTATTTTTCGCTTCGGGTTTGCCTTTTGCTGTTAACACTCTTATAAGTGGTACTACATAGTAGATGGCAATGTCTTTATCATCAGCCATAGACCAAACTATCACTGCAGCTGCTCCCAAATGACATCAGACATAGTTTTATTACTGACTTCTAAGGGCACAGCAAACATTGTGATGCTTCTTTTTGTTGTAGCAGCACTATGATCAAGAAGAGACTATGCATACAACTCCCTCTGTCGCACATACTCAATATTTTCCTTCAGCGAGCAGTTACGGTGGAGGTGGTTGCTGGCTCCTTAAGTGAAGACAGTGGATACTTGTGCAAGTATTTTCCTGATCAAGAAAAGCTGAGGGGATGAAGCTGCTGGGCCAAATGTTGTCCACTTTGCTTCTTAGGTTTGTTTGCCAAGATTAAATGACAACCAGCCTCCCTCACATGTTCTCACGTGCTGCACAGCATATGGCTGTGCTCCATGCTGCAATTGGAAAAAATGTTATGTCCCCACTGTTAAATGAATGTGGCACATATTAGTGTGGCTTATTAACATATATGCATTCTTGGTCAAAGAGATGCCAAGGAGATTGTATATCTTCAAACAAAAATAACATGAGGCATCATGCAGGATCATGCCACTTGTCAAAAGCTGAATGAGGAAATAATGCAGAGGAAAAAGTAACTCCGTCAGCAGGGTTTGAACTCATTAACCGTTCAAGCAGGTTGTTAGAATGGTCAGTAGCATTACTGTTGTTAATGATGGCTGCACTGGACATGCAGTCTAGTGTATGAATGGACCAAAACAAACATCCCAAGAAGATAAGGAATCTTAAGCATCTGTCAAAGCAAAACTCAGAAGCCTAAATGCAACTGAGTATGGTAACAATGTGTCCAACAAGAAATACACAAGAAATACATAAGAAATACTGTAGACTACAGATTGTAAGATGTATTTCCTACATTACAGTTTTGATCAGTAAATTGAGAATACTTCATAAAATGAGTCAGTATCCCTGCCAATGTCCTACCTCCCAGCTTTCAGGTTGGGAAAACAGGGCTGGAGGAGGCCGTGAATGACAAGGTGAAGGGGGCAATCCTCCACTTCAGCCAAGCATCACCCCATGCCTTTCCAAAAAAAGACAAACAGCTCCTCACCACGGGTTTGACACATGACTGCTGAGAGGCATCGACACAGCCCCAGCCCTCAATTCCATTTCCTGGAGCAGTTGCCTTGAAAATTCTTACCACGTTTGGCTTGTCCTCTGGGAAATCAGGGGCCAGGCTACAGTTTTAAATTGCATGCTGCCACTTCTGAACTATCAGGCTACAGGGATACTTTCTGCTTGGACTGAGGTGAATTAGATTTAAAAACAAAAGGAAAACTATTATGGTAGCGGAGCTAGGTTAATAGTAAGGAGAAGGAGTGGTAAGTCATCAGGTTTCTCAGTTATCATATGTGCGACCTACTGAATGACTGGATGAACTCCAGCAGTCAGCTGACCTTCTTGTGACCTGACTTGTGGAACTACTAAACTAGGCAAAAATCAGGGCTTTGCTAAAAACTACACTTTCTTTCTAAACAGAGTACTCTTCAGGGCATAAATCATACTGGGTGCGACACAGAAGGAAGACAAAGGTTTACCTGTCCCTACATTCTGAAACAAGGAGTAAAAGGATTAAGAATGGAGAGACTGCTGTCCTTATGCTACATTTGCCTCACAGAAACTGAAATCACAAGCCCATGGCCTATAAGCACAGATAGAAATATTTGTGTGCAGAATGTACTGCAAATAAATCTACAATTCCCACTCCTCTTTGTCAAGCAGGTTCAAAGAAAACATATCTCCTGAAGCCACAAAAGCAAGAATTACATCTGTAACTTGCATAAATTCTTTCCGAAGGTCTCACTGTGGAAACTATTATTTCTGATGTAGACAAGAAGAAAGCTGATGATGAAGTCACACTGAGGAAAAATGGGTCCTGTGCCTCAAAGAAACCTCACCAGTAATACATATCAAGTGATAATGACAGGATTTCAATTTCAAAACTAATTCAGATGGAAGTCGAACACAACTGCTAGAGCAAAACATTGGTTTTTAGTTAGGAGATGAGAAAAACTTGCATACTATTTTTTAAGAGAACTTTCTAAGTAAGGAGTTCTCTGGAGCAGCAATACTGATTGTCAGTAAGACTTTTAAAATATGAAGTAACTTCCAGAAGAACAGAAAATGGATACTACGGAATCAGTCTTCAAAATGAATGAACAAAAAAATCTGAATTACTGAAGCCCTATCAATCTGATTGAGGCAATGAGCAAAATGATGAAAACAATGGAATGAAGCTTGATGAAATGAATTAAAGGAGATGGAATAATCGAGGCCAAGCAATATAGACTTGTGGTCAATCAGCCATGTCAAATAAAGTTGGTTTTTCTTCAATGAGATTAAAATTCACTGAGAATTGATGACATTGAAAAAACTCTTACCGAGACACAATCAAATAACATTAAAATATTATATTTATATTTCTCTAGAGCAAAGTTTTGGTACCTCAAAATATTCTATTAGCAATGTAGCATGATGTAAAATGTTAACACAACAGCCTTTTAACATGGGTTTCAACATATTCAAAATACAATTTTAAGCAGAAAATAATTCCTTAGTACTTATTTTCCTCATGTACCACGGAATGTCACACTGTTGGTACTTCTATCAGTGGCTTAGAGTAAATTAAATAATATATGATAAAAGTTTGAAAATGACAAAATAATTGGGTAGCTAAAATATAATGAAAATAACCAGGTCACTAAGACATAACCACTTGGATCATTAGGTAGGTTGGCCACAAGTTAACAATGTATTTATATTAATATAATGAATACAAGCCATAGTTACATAACGTTATCCTATTGCACTGTAATCAGAGAATTGTAAAGTGATCTCAATGAATGTTAAACTTAAACTCTTAAAATAATACTGTACCCAAAAAGCGACCCTTGCAGATACAGACAGAAGACTACAAAGGGAAAGAAGAAAGGCTATTACCTCTCTGTCTGATGCAGATATGACTGTTGCTGGAATACTATGTTACTCTCTAGCCTACATGGAGGAGGAAAGCTACCTAAAGTTGCAAAAGTACCAGATAAAGGCCTTGAAATCAATAAATTATGGGAAACTACAGAGAAAAATTAAAGAAGATTCATCTGTTTCATTTATCAATGAAATCATTAAGAAATTACTTGGTTACCGCTATGTAAAAGTATACCCTCAAAGCCTGAAAATATGTTAGAAAAAAGAACTTTAGTCCCTGTACAGCAGATAAAAGTACAACAGGACCAGATAGCTGGGATCCTGAGCTGTAGCTTGACAAATTCAGATAAGAAGCGAGATGCAACTTCTACAGAAATGGTAGTTAAATACTGATGACTTTTTGTCAACAGTACTGATGAATACTTTGTTACTGTCTATGTTTAATTAAGTGAAGCTCAGATATTTTTCTGAGAGGAAATAATTAGGAGAAGTCTTTATGTTATGCAAAAGCCATACTAGCCAGTGTTTATCAGTCTTTCTTAAGAGACTGTAACTCAAGAATCCGTGAATACTTCTAAATTAACCATGAAAAACTAAATGTGTGCAGCCATTGTTTCCTGAAGCTAAGGAGCTCAAAATATCCTTCTCATTACTGGATGGAATTCCACAGTATTTCTGAGAAGATAAGATAACACTTTCTTCACCCTTAATCCACCACTTTGTTGATGAAAAAAACTACACAGAGGTAAATGACTTAAAAGGCTTTGAACAAGAAAGTTATTATACAAGCTAAAGCATCCAGATGCCCTAATTTCCAGATCTGTGTATGAACCATAAGGCTGGTTGTCCTCTTTCATCTATGAATTTGCCCATGCCTAAGAGCTCTGTATCTCTTTTTTTTTCCCCAAAACATTCAAAATATTATTACAAGAGACAAAATGAGACCCAGAAGAGAGATGAACAGATGCTAAGGTGAGACGGAATACACTGGGCTGGCACTGGTTTTAATACATATCATAATCATACTTTGGATAAAATACAAATAACAACCACTTGGTGGCTCTTGGAAATGATTAAACTTCTTTTTGCAGATGATAAATACTGTTTATTCAGTGTGTGATTTGAAAGGCTTTTTCCCAAATACCTTCCATGTTAGGTCTCTTGTTGTGTTTTGGTTCAAAATCTGCAGGGCCAAGTGAAGAAGTAGCACACTACAAGGGTCAAAAGTCTGGCTGTGGCTCAGCCAGAGGTATTTACTAGAAGACTGATAAAGTTGAATGAATTCACAAATCTAAAACTTATCTGGATTTGAATAAAGAGAAAAGCACAGGTCAGAGACAATGAAAGGTCATGAACAATGAAGTGCTGCTGTCAAAACACATCATAGGGAAAAAGTTGTAGCAACAAATCTAAGAATATCTGGTTCTGTTTTCTAGCCTATTAGCATGTGGCTACTTTCATTCTGTAATTCAGGAATCAGGGTTTACATATACTGGAAAACTGAAATATCCCTATCTTCAGAACATCTGATTTTACCTTTCGAAAAAATGATTTTAGGTTATCAAGGCCGTTCTCAAAGGAAACAAACAACACAAATAGAAAACAAACAACCACAACACATGAGAATTATTTTCCTTTTCCCCATGCAAAACAGTAACAATGCATACATAAGATTTTTTTTTGCTTTTTTCCTAGAAATTTACTGCCAGATAAAAAATAAGGAATTCCTGTAGAAAATACATTTTTTTTTGTTGCCTCATGTCTATTATGTATTGCAGGAGAGTGATACCAACTAGAGATTGAACAGTTTAGTCACATGAAGCCCCAATATTTTTTTCATGTTCAAGGAATACGTGCATGTAGAAATACAGCTCTCACCTCGCAGCCTCTTCAGTCTCTGCTCTCTCCTCCTCCTCCTCACGATCAGCAGCATCACAAAAAGCAGCAAGACCCCAACCAAGATACAGGAGATGGTCACCAGCATCTTTAGCCCTTCGTTGGTTGCCAGCCCTTCCTCACTTTGCACAACTGACTTAATAAGTGGAGGGATTGTACCTGGAAACAGTGTCATGATATTAGATGTCTATTAATGAAGACAAAAGATTTGAGTTCTCAGGGAATATGGCACGTTATATGCTTCAGCTGCATGCAGAACATTAACAAGGATTTTTCACATTCAGGGTGGATGCTATCTCTGCGTGTGTAGTGACCATGCACATGTAACCAGTCACACTGGTAACAAGGCACTGACTGCAGAGACTCATATGTTATCAGAAATTGAGAAGTGCATTCATTGATGAAAGAAAACCATGCCTACTATACAGTCATATACTAAAATTAATTTTAAGCCGTATTAAGTCATTACAAAGCTGTAAGAGATTGCAGAATTACTACCTATGTATACTACACCTTACCACGGAAAAATAGCACTGCTGCAGCATACTCATACTTTGTGCTGGGCTTTTCTTTCTAAGGAACGTATTTGACAAAGTTCGTTTTGTGCTACATACATCAGATGAATCCTTTGCACAGAAACATTCTTATATCACGTCTTAGGGGTGCAGCAGTGATATTGATCTGAACTTCAGATAGGCAATGTGATGCTAATTTGCTAAAGAGTGTCTGACATTACACTCATCAGTAAAACAGGAGAGTAACACTGGATAGAAACAATCAAATTTTGAGAGTGAAATGAGGGAAATGAATCTACAAACTACTGGCATTGGTAGGCAGCTCACTTTTTCATTTTGGGACATATTTGCATTTTGAATATACCTGGCTTCCTGGTGATATATAATACTTGAACTTTTCAATTCTTTCTTCTAAAAGACGTGAGAAGAATTCAGCACTTTCTTTGGAAGGCTGTTTAGTCATGGAAGACTTCTCACTCATTTCCTGATTACTATTAAACTGCTGAATGCAACCACAAATGAGGCTGTAAAATGCAGATTTGTTTGAAATGGATAAAAACACGCAAGTGTTGTGAACTGTGATGACTTTCAATGAAAGCTATTCAATTTTAACCAGCTACTGAAACAGAACAGTGGCAACTTACTTGCTAAAAGGATAGGAGGGTTGGATAGAAAAACAGGCACATTCTTTTCTACATTTTAATTGCTGCATTGAGTGATATAGTTATATCTCATTATGTACCATATAGTATCAGGGAAAAAAAAAAGTGATATAATGCAGTATAATGTTAGTGCCATAACCACAGTGGAAATGCAGAATTCTAGCTCATGTTTTTTCAGAAGAGCTATTTCAGTTGCATATAATAAGAAGAGTAGTTCCCTAAAGGGATGAAGATAAACAGAAAAGCTACAACCATACAAACCTATATCAGGTACTTTGGAAAATTTATTTTCTTATAGTTGTATTTTTAATATTTTTCTACTGTTCCATCATACCTACTCCCCATAACTTTCTTTCTTTCTTTTTCTAATTTTCCCTTTCTTGGAATAAACACACAGCAATACTTTTTCATCCTGTCCTAACTGAGACGCAGTTTTTGAACTACTCTAAAGGCAAATAAAATTAGATTAAGAATTGTGAAGAACTTCAAGCTCCTGAAGGTAGTACTAATAATTGTCTCGAAATGTTCTTCTGAATACCAAAAGGCCAAATTTTGCTCTGAATTAAAGTCACACAGACTATTGGCTAGACTACTGGGCTTAAGATTATCTGAAGTTCTTTCTTCTCTCCTTAATACTTTGATGAAAATCAGATTAAGAGTGGCCTTAACTTCAGTTAAACCTTAAATGTTTAGGTAAGTGATTATCATTTCCCCATACCTCTTCCATGTAAAGTGTAAACCTCATAGCGCTACATATAGGCAGTACAAGCTTAATTAAAAAAAAAAACACCCAAACATACTGGAAGTTTATATATCCTTTGAACTATACATTTGTGGATATACAGCAATTACACTAGAAATTACCAAAACCTGAAGGTGCTATCCATTGAGAAAATACCGTTTCAACATTTGTTGTCATTCTAGGTGTAGGCTAGGAGTGGAGTAGTCAAAGCTTTTCTCAGAACAAAGTTTCAGGCAAATTGGGAGAATGGGGTTTTTTTGTTTGTTTGTGTTTTTTTTTTTTCCCATGTGAATTCACCATCACCTTTTTTTAGTCTGTTTTACTAGTGCTTTATAGAAGTTGTGGGCTAAATGCCTCTCACTCAATTTTTGCCTATGATGCAGCCCTGCCATTGCACCTTGTGGCTTTAGGATTATGAAGTGTTTTCCTGTGTCCTAACTGTTCTTCATGGTAGGAAGTCCCCCTGTGGGCTAGAACCAATTAGCATAGCTTAGTGTAGTTACCAAGCCGAACTGATTTAATGTCAGGGCTACTGAGCAGCTGATCTCTGAGTTGGGAAGGTCTTTTGCAGTGCTTGCTATGCACTACAGCTGCACATTGCTAAAAATATCCTCTTAAGTACTGAGTGCAAATGTTCTGAAAAGCAAGGGGCAGGAAGGTCATAAAATCTGTAAGCTGAAAATGGTTAGCTGAAATATCTATGAGCAGAGAGCAAAAAGTCGCACGCAGATCTGTCATTAACCTCTTGGCTTAGTTCACCATGAAGAGATTTAAGGTAAAGGATCCTCAACCATGGTATTTCTCAGGAGCAATATCAGAGATAACAATCAGCTACTGCAGTCTGCATAAAATAAGACCACGTAACACAAGGATTTCTACACAGTTTACAAAGGCTTTATCTTAAGACTGCTAAAGCTCCTAAGCTTATTCTTAGTATTTGGTATCCTAGAACTTGCATACACCTATTATCTAATCTGTAAAGTACTATCTTTGCAGCTGTTTTATCCTGAGGGCAGCTGTGACCCCTAGAATCTGGAGGGGACTAATTTCACGTCACAGGACAAATCAATGTAGTGGTTCAGTTAGCACTCGGAAGTGGAGCTGGCCAAAAAGTTTCCACTGGCATGCTTTCTGTAAATGAAAAAATCAGTTTCTATGAAAGAAAAAATTTCTGCATGTAGTATTGATAGAAAATATAGATTCTGATCAGACAGAATTTTCCAAATCTGAAGCACCTTAAGCCTATACAGTTTACCAAGGAACAAATAAATGGCAAGCTGGGACTCTGTAGGGACAATTTTTGCTTTAGAAGCACTGAAATAGTTCTATGAGATCTTTTATGTGGGAATAGACTACCTTAATTTTCAAAAATGATGATGATCATCATCATATTATCATTTTAATTCTCATCAAATGTAACAAATTCAGTAAATTTGAACACTGAAATTTGTTTTTCCAGCCATGTTTTCCTCTCTTAACCTTGTCATTAATGTTTGAGATCATGCTGCCTCTCTAAGGCATGGTATAATCCTGGCAAAGCATGCTTGACAAATAAAACCATCAATACCGTAAATGAGAAATTTTCTAGGTGATCAGAAATGGTGGCCAAGGAAATTTAATGCTACAAATATTTTTATTGTTTCATTTTCTCACTTTTAAAGATGCCATACAGCAACACACAAAATCAAATGGAAAGCAGGTCACAGTACATGAAACCAAGGTATCATCACCTAATCAAAAAACAGAGTCTCACAACACTTCAAATCAGTTAATTATAAGAATACATTTGATTTCACTGCTATCAGTGGGAATTTAAGGCTCTGGACCTGCATTTTCATATAATGTCTTCTAAGTTATGGCTTCAGGCTGTTTGCCCCAGTCACATATATGTAACGATAACTGTGGATGTGAAAAAAAGATCACTGAAAGTTGAATGCTGCCTGTAGAAAGATACTGGAGAAAAGAGAGGACAAGTTAAGTAAGGTGACAAGAAATTAACTCATAATACTTGAAACGATTGTTATTGACAACATTTATAATATATCTAAACCAGGTCGTACGTCTACCTGGCGAGATCTGGCAGCATTTGTATAACAGCTACACTGGATCTTGGTTTCCTGCAGGCTTCTAAGTCCTGAGACAAAATCTTTCTCATAATATTTTAAACTATCCGAGATAAAGCAGGGACTGTACCTGAGCTTATCAAAATGATATTTACTCAGAAAAACATGAGGGGATGTGCTATTTGCAAAAGGGCAAGCCGTGAGGGCATGTGCTATTTGCAAAAGGGCAAGCCGTGAGGGCATGTGTCATCAATTATCTGCAAGAACTGATGAGTACCTAGCACAAAGACTGAGGTTTAAACCCTGCCCAATTCATATCCCACACATTTGACCAGTAATGATCCCCATTGCTTGCTCTTCGCTGAACCATACATGGGCGTTGTTCCTGGAGAGTGCTGGTTTGTGTGGGACAAAATTGTGATGGTGAGATGTGTTACTGACACAGAGTTATGAATTATCAGCAATTTTGTGCCATCATTGGACAGTTATCAGTTATTGTCTGAACTTGCTCACAAGTCCTGTTGTTTAATTTAACAGTACAGATGTCAGCAAGTGGTTGCACAATACAACACAGTATCCCTGGCAACGCAACAACATTTTACAGTCTCCAGAAAAGCTCCAGCAATTCACACGAGAGCAATTCAAGAGATTGCCATCTGGAGCCATCTGTACTGTTGGGGTTTTTTTTGCCAGAAATACAGCCAGTTCCCACTACAGAGCCAGCAGAAGCACACATGTGCCACCATCACTTTCAATAAACATGCCAGGACATGAGCTGGAGTGACTGACAAATTGGCGTGCTTACTCTCACCCTCTTGTTCTGGCTTTTTTTGCAGGGTGGGCAGTAACCCCTGGCAGAAGGGCAGGATGCAACAATTCCTTCATCCCCTGTGCCCTGCTGCTGGGCATGACAGAGCCATCTGTCACGGCCATTAGTTTCACTTTCCCTTGTCTGTAAATAAGGATAATAGCATTGTCATTGCTTTGCCCTTGGAGGGTGTTGTCCGGGGGCTTTCCTGGAAGACAAGCTAGTTAGCTGCTCCGTTGCATCACATAATGGGTTTTGAGCTGTGTCACAAGTACATTGCATGGAATAGCAATGAGATCAGTCATCGCAGGAACCAATTGCGTGGGAGACAAAAATTTCATGGAAGAGATGCGTGAAATACTAGTAAGTGCTTCTGTGACCACTGGAGCTAATGACACCTAGGGTCTTATGTTTATGTGTCTCATGGCTGATCAACTTTGGTACTGGAGCTTTTCCTCAGTGAGGTCAAATAACCCCTCATTTTGGGCCTGGCAGCCTATTGTCATGAAATCCATAAGCATTTTACATCTTTGAGACTGTTACCTCTCTGTCAGCATGGCTAGTAGATTCAAAAAGGGTTTTATGGGGAGGAAAAGAAAGACAAACAAAAAAATAGTGTAAGAAACTACAGTAAAGACAGTATCTTAGACACATAAATAAAAAGACATACTTACTGCCATCATAATTGAGCGTTGCAAATTTGGCTTGTTTCTCTGCGCAGCCAGCACTGTTGCACACTCTCATTTGCAGTTCATACCAGGTTGCCTCCTGGAGGTCATACAGTATGTAGGACTTTGACAGGGATGTCCGCTGAGCGGTCGTCCAGACTGTTGTCCCAAATGGCCGGTACTCCAGGGTGAAGGAGGTGATGGGGCAGCCACCATCATTCCAGCCTATCAGGTTCAGCCTTACTCTCGTGGTGTTGATACTAGCAAAGAGCTCTTGTTCTTTCGAAAACTGTGGCTCTAGAAGAAATATTTCAAGTGAAATATTTGAGTATTACAGATACGAGACTCTCAAAACCACAAAATATAGAGAATAATTTCTAGGATAATATGAATTTCATCTTAAATTCAACTTCTTTTTTTCTTCTCTTAAATGTTTTTTTTCATACTTTAGGCCAGACTCACAAACCTAGATTTTCAAATCCATACATGAAAAAAAATCAACATACATCCCCACATGGACATGACTTGCCAGTTTACATGGACTGGTATGATTCAACTTCTAAATCTAGTGCAGACACTTCATATCAGTAAATACCACTGCTGACTGCTGTGCAAAAAAGAAAGAGTTCAGAATACCACATAGAAATACTATTGAAGAAAACAAACTAGAAGATTTTCCACTGGTGCTTTAGCCTTCTTTTGAAGCACTTTTTTTTTTTGGAGAGTAAAGAGGCTTTCATTTTTGGAAAAAGACAATTCTGAAGAACTTGCAAGTAAAAATTATTTTTCAAAAACTATTAATGTGTTGACATTACATATGATATATTTAAAGATAATATATGCTTTTGGTTTTGCATTTCTGAGTTAGGATATTTTCATTCAGAAAGGGGTTGACATTTTTAATTCCTTGTCCTGCTTTGGGATCGAGTGTTTGTTTCTGTTGATATATATATTAAAGTCTTTTTTGAGAGCTCTATGTAATACAGAAGTAATGACAGTTAAAATGGCACCTTGGAATTGAAATAATGACAGTAGGTGGACAAGACAGGTCATCAACAAATGTTATTTATATTAAATATTGCTATAGTGGACTTAAAAGTATTATTATTAATTGCTTAACAGAAACAATGTTTTTACTATTGGAAGTTACATCTAATGTGATGAAAATTATCTATAACATGCTATTTTATTTGATATAATAAAGCATAACTTATCCAATGGGTGTCTTTTTGCCATTATTGTGCCTTGATGAGGGGCACCAAGATGCACTCTCTTTTCTAAATTCTACAGGAATCTGAACAAAACTGGTGATTCC